CACGTGCTCAGTGTCGTAGTTGCTAGCGCAGATTGTTAACCTGCAATGCTCAGAAGGTTGAGCTTTGCCTTCTCAAGGATTAATCCATTAGCATTCGGGGTCTCTGGGACCCACATTTTCCCACTTAATTAAAAAAATTAGTTAACCATAACTTTGGAAGTTGCGGGGGTTCCATCACTGGAGGTTTTTAAGAAGAGGCTGGACAGCCAGTTGTCTGGAATGGTAGAGGGTGTCCTGCTTGAGCAGGGGGTTGGACTAGATGACCTCTAAGGTCCCTTTCAGCCCTGTGATTCTATGATTCTGAGATAGATAAATAAGATACATGATGGATGGATGGATGGATGGATGGATGGATGGATGGAAGGAAGGAAGGAAGGAAGGAAGGAAGGAAGGAAGGAAGGAAGGAAGGAAGGAAGGAAGGAAGGAAGGAAGGAAGGAAGGAAGGAAGAGCTTGCCTCTAGAAGTTGTGGGTGCTCCAACACTGGAGGTTTTGAAGAAGAGACTGGACAGCCATTTGTCTGAAATTGTAGAGGGTCTCCTGCTTGAGCAGGGGGTTGGACTAGAAGACCTCCAAGGTCCCTTCCAATCCTGGGTTTCTATGATTCTGAGATAGATAAATAAGATGGGTGGGTGGGTGGATGGATGGATGGATGGAAGGAAGAGCTTGCCTCCAGAAGTTGTGGGTGCTCCAATACTGGAGGTTATTAAGAAGAGACTGGATAGTCACTTTTCTGGAATGGTAGAGGTCTCCTACTTGAGCAGGGGGGGGCTGGACTAGAAGACCTCCAAGGTCCCTTCCAACTCTGTTATCATGTTAATGATTGGTGTGCATGGGGATGAAGTCAATTGAAGCTGCTTTTAGTGACTTGCAATCTCATGAGAATAAGACCTGATGGAGAAGGTTCAGCTGTGGAGGGGGTTGGACTAGAGGACCTCCAAAGGCCCCTTCCAGCTTCTATTCTGATTGATTAAACTCTCCCCCCCCCCCCAGAATGCAAGCAAGCAAGCAGTTCTCTGGGTGCACTTCTCATAACCCCTGAAGTCTAATAAAAGGTTTAAATTAAGATGAACATTTCACAAGGAGACCTCGACTTAACAAGCATTCGTTCAGTGACCGTTTGAAGTTAAAATGGCACTGAAAAAAGTGACTTATGACCGTGTTTCATACTTATGACGGTTGCAGGATCTCCACGGTCACCTGATCAAAATTCAGACACTGGGCAAACTGGCATATATTTCTGTCGGCTGCAGCGTCCCAGGGTGTGTGTGTGTGTGTCACATGATCCCTTCTGCGACCTTCCAACATGCCAAGTCAAATGGGGAAGCCAGATTCGCTTAACAACCGTGTCACTAAGTTCACAACTGCTGTGAGCCACTTAACAACTGTGGCAAGAAAGGTTGTAAAACGGGGCCAAACTCAGTTAACAAACACTCGGTCTCAGGGGATCCCCAGTTCTGACCTTCCCAGATGGCTTCGGAAAAGCAAAGTCAACGGGGGAAGCCAGGTTCGCTTAACGACCGTACGACTCACTTCGCAACTGAAGGGATTCGCTTAACGGCTGTGGCAAAAGAAAAGGTTGTAAAATGGGGCAAAAAACAACTGCCTTGCTTGGTAATGGAAATTTTGAGTTTCGTTCGTGGTTGTAAATTGAGGACTGCCTGCACTAAATTGCGGCAGAAGGAGGTTCCACTACTAAGAGATTAGATTTGGTTGTAGTGAGGGAACAACAGAGATAAACATTATTTTAGTCATTTTAAAGCAGGAGCCTTCAAACTTGGCCCTTTTATGACTTGTGGACTTTAACTCCCAGAATTCCTCAGCCAGCATAGCTGGCTGAGGAATTCTGGGAGTTGAAGTCCACAAGTCATAAAAGAGCCAAGTTTGAAGGCCCCTCAAACAAACAAAATGGAGGCTGGCTGAGGAATTCTGGGAGTTGAAGTCCACAAGTCATAAAAAGGCCAAGTTTGAAGACCCCTGTCTTAAATCTAACAAACAAAATGGAGGCTGGCTGAGGAATTCTGGGAATTGAAGTCCACAAGTCATAAAAGGACCAGGTTTGAAGGCCCCTGTTTTAAAAGCAACACAAAACAAAATGTTGCAATTGACTCATGTTTATGAGGGTTGCACTGTCCCGGGATGTTGCTATCCCCTTTTGTGACCTTCTGACAAGCAAAGCCAATGGGGGAAGCCAGTTTCACTTAACAACTGTGTTCCTAACTTAACAACTGCAGGGATTGGCTTAACACGTGTGGCAAGGAAGGTCCTAAAATGGAGCAAAAGCCACTCAAAAAAAATAATAATGATGTTTTACTTAGCAAGAGTTAAAACTTGCTGACCTAGCAAGGGCAAGTCAGCCTTGCTTAGCAGTGGAAATTTCGGCCTCCGTTGTGGTTGTTAAGTCGAGGAATGACACACAAAGCGCAGATTGGAGCGCCTCCTGATTTTCACGAGGGGCGTGGACATCTTTCGAACCCTAAATCTTATAAAAATTTATAAAATGTATCTAGAGTTACAAATAAATGAGGAATACAGATTGGGATGAAGCTGCAAATCACAGTTACCCAACCTGCGTCACACTTACCAGCCATCAAATCTGTATAAATGAAAACTCTTAAGACATTTTTTTACCTCAGCGCCACACATATAAAATGGAAGTTGGGTTAAATGTGCGTGGTGCGGCCACCATTTTGACTTTTCTGACCCCAAGAGATCGGGCTTCCCCTTCTCCAGCAAGCAAAAAGAAAGATTTGGGGTGTCCATGCTGACTTGTTTCCAAAATTGGCCTGGCTGAGAGATTGCATTTTGTTGGCCTCTGGTCCAGGTTCAGACCATCTTTTAACCATCTTAGGCAAGGATCAAGCCAGTGCATTCACACAACAGGCTAAACTCCCCCTACTCTTCCTTTCCCCCTCCCCTCGCCTTCCTGGGCTTAGATCATTGTACAAACCCCAATTTGGGGGGTTAAGTTTACAAAGCAGTGCCTTGTGGGACCTCCGAAAGCTGATGAGCTCAGTAGCCAGGTTGTACGAATGCGAACTTGCCTTGCCTGCATCTTTTACATTCATCCTCCTGTGTGTCTAACATGGGGGGAAGTCTTTTAGAGGGTCTCTTAGAGGGTCGTTGAGGCCACTTGGAGGCTTATCAGTGTCCTCAAGGTCACCGGAGTGGTGTAAATGGGTGTGGAGCCTTCTTGGGACTGCTGAAAGGACTCTATTGTATCCCAAAGATGCTTTTTCAGGAGGCAACTGGACTTCCTTGTTTTTTCTTTGAAGATGTTTCGCTTCTCATCCCAGAAGCTTCTTCGGCTCTGACTGGATGGTGGGGAAAGGAAGGATTTATACTCCTTGCAAACCGCTGGTCATTTGCATTCTTTTAGAGGATCGTTGAGGCCACTTGGAGGTTTATCTGTGTCCTCAGGGTGTGGAGCCTTCCTGGAACTGCTGAAAGGACTCTGTTGTAGACTGGAGATAGATGATGTCCCTGAGGATACAGACAAACCTCCAAGTGGCCTCAACGACCCTCTAAAAGGAGGCAAATGACCAGCTGTCTGCAAGGAGTATAAATCCTTCCATTCCCCACCATCCAGTCAGAGCTGAATAAGCTTCTGAGATAAGAAGCTAAACGTCTTCAAAGGAAAAAACAAGTCCAGTTGCCTCATGAAAAAGCATCTTTGGGACATTTATTGATAGGCCTTAATCTTGACGGACCATGCACAATGTGTTCCTGGCCACCAATAAAGCTATTCAGACTGCTATAAAGGTAGTCCTCGACTTAAAACAGTTCATTTAGTGACCGTTCAAAATTATGACAGCACTGGAAAAAAGGGAGTTATAGCAGTGGTGGGATTCAGCCTCTTCGCACCACTTTGGCAGAACCGGTAACTAATTTTTTGTTGCTCAGGCCCAGAATGGACTTCCGGAAGCGGCATCCACACAGAGAACCGGTTGTTCACCTGTTTGAATCCCACCACTGAGTTATATCCATTTTTTTCACACTTATGCTCCATCGCAGCATCCCGTGTGGATGCTTGGCAACTGACTCATATTTATGACGGTCGCAGTGTCCCAGGATCACGCGGTCCCCTTTGGCAGCCTTCTGACCGTCAAAAGTCAATGGGGGAAGCCTGGTTGACTTTACAACTGTGTTACTGACTTAATTGAAGCGATTCATTTAAGAACGGTGGCAAGGAAGGTCGTAAAATGGAGCAAAATTCATTTATAAATATTTCGCTTAGCAAGAGTTAAATTTGGGGCTCTGTTGGGGTCGTAACCTGAGGGCTATCTGTACTTTCTGGGCTTCAAATGCTATATAATGTCACATAAGTGTTCTAAATGCCTTCTGTGTTTTGATTTATACCTTCGTTATATAGTTATTCTAAGTTTTTTTCCTTTTATTATGCTAATTTAAATATTACATTCACTCTGTTTAGTCTAAGACGTTCTGGACTCGGAAAATAACTAACGGATGTTGACCAGCATTTTCAACGAAGCTTAGCCTGTGGTTAAAACTCACAATAATCTGTTTAAATCAGGACATGTGAAAGTACCCTTTAGGCAGGTAGTTTTATAGGTAGTCCTTGACGTCTATCCATAATTGGAAAAAAGCTAAAAAAAGTTGATAGTTCAGTGACTCTTGCCTGATTTTACAACTTTTTTTTGCAATGGTTTTTAAGCGAACTGTACACTTACTAAGCGAATCCGGCTTTAATCTCGGCGAATTAGAACTGTGGTTGCAAGGTTTCCAAGTTCCAATTAATCAGAATAAAGCTGGGTCTTGGAGGCCATCTAGTCCAATCCCCTGCTCCAGCAGGACACCCTATATTATTTCAGTCCAGTCTCTTCTTAAAAATCTCCAGTGATGAAGCACCCACAACTTCTGGTGTGGCAAGCTGTTCCACTGGTTAATTGCCCACCCTGTTCGAAAGTTTCTCCTTATAATTCCAGGTTGCTTCTCTCCTTGTCGGAAGCTCTTTATGACTATTTTGATGCTTTTCTTCCAGGTCTTTGAAGGGACACCCCACCCCATCCGCGGACATTTCTGGACATCCCCTGCAATTCATCCAGGGACCCCAGGCCCACACAGCCTGTCTCCTGTTGGTACGAGCACTTGAAGCAGAACCAGCCTTTTTTGAGTGGGAGGGTTCTGGGTAGGGTTGGACTGAGTTTTGCGCCCCCAAATCTTCCTGTCTTACCTAATATATACATAGATGCCATATATATATATATCAATAGATACAAACACACCCAACACAAAAACACACCCGCCCACAACTTCTTCCCCGCGACAAAGGACCGTTTCGGGAGACGGAGAGAACCAGCTGCGTATGCCATCCAGATTGCTGTTTGTACATTCGTGTCACGCATAAATGTATTTAAGTTGTAAAGGCTATTTATATATTGTTTATAAAGAGATATTTATAAAAAAAATTTTATTTATGTAAACTAAACGAAAAGGGGTCGAGCATTGTAAACTTTTTTTTCCCCCCCTTCTCATCCTGAATAGTCGGAAGGAAAGAAAAAAAATTCATGGACGATTTGGTAACCTGTCTTGCGTTTTAATCGGACGCAGACTTTCTTTCTTTCCAAAATGGGTGGTTTGAACAAGGCTTTTAGATACCACGGATAAGAGTAAAAAATGCATTTGTAAAGAAATCGCACGCTATCTACCAAAGGTGTAAAAGAACCCGACGCGCCGTTTTTGTCGTTTTTAGCAGAAATAAAGAACCACTTTTCAAAATGGTCCTCAGAATTAAACTCACTAGTCTGGATTTATTTATTTTTTTGCTTGCTGAATTCGAGTCCGTCCTCGCTCTTTGCACCATCGAGTAATTTCTCAGAGAGCTGACGAATATGGTCCTCTCTGAATGATCTTCACTCTTCTTTAAAGCTGAAGGGTCAACAGGTAGTCCTTGACTTACGACCACAACGGAGCCCCAAATTTATGTTGTTAAGTGAGACAATCTGTTAAGTGGGTTTTACCCCACTTTAAGACCTTTCCTGTCGCAGTGGTTAGGTGAATCACTGCAGTTGATAAGTTAGCAACCAGTTGTGAAATGAACAACTGGCTTCCCCGTTGACTTTGCTTGTCAGAAGTTTGCAAAAGGGGATCCCGTGACATTGGCACAGAGCAACGGTTATAAATTTGAAACGGTGGCCAAGCAGCTGAATTTTGATCAAGTGAGCATGGGGAGCAGTAACTGCGAGAGGGATTTCGGAGGCCTAGTGGACAATCACTTAAATATGAGCCAGCCGTGTGCTGCAGTTTCCAAAAAGGCCAACACAGTGCTAGGCTGCATTAACGGGGATAGAATCAAGATCACGTGAAGTATTAATACCACTCTACAAGGCCTTAGTAAGGCCACACTTGAAATACGGCATCCAGTTTTGGTCACCACGATGTAAAAAAGATGTTGAGACTCTGGAAAGAGTACAGAGAAGAGCAACAAAGATGATCAGGGGACTGGAGGCTAAAACATATAAGGAATGGTTGCTGGAATTGGGTATGTCTAGTTTAACGAAGAGAAGGACGAGGGGGGACATGATAGCAGTGCTCCAGTATCTCAGGGGTTGCCCCAAAGAAGAGGGAGTCAAGCTATTCTCCAAAGTACCTGAAGGCAAGACAAGAAGCAACGGATGGAAACTAATCAAGGAGAGAAGCAACCTGGAACTAAGGAGAAACTTCCTGACAGAACAATTAACCAGTGGCACCACCTGCCTCCAGAAGCGGTGAATGCTCCAACACTGGAAGTTTTTAAGAAGAGACTGGACAGCCATTTGTCCGAAATGGTGTAGGGTTTCCTGCCTGAGGTCATAAGTCACTTTTTTTCAGTTCACTAAGTGAACTGTTTGAAGTCAAGGACTACCTATTGCTTACAACAGGGTTTCCCCAACTTGGCAACTTTAAGTGAAGTTTGCTTCGTTTATGTACAGTAGCTTTCCCTGCCAGGGTTGATGGGGGTGTGGTTTTCTCCTCGGTACTTCCTTCATTAGGGTATTGTTTTCACTGGGTTGTTTGTCTGGTGTTAATTCCTGCTTATCTGGGTGTTGGCTGCTGGAGATGATGGGTTCCCATCTTCTTGTTTCCTTCTTAGCTTTTTTTTAATTGTCTTTTCAACGGTGTATAAATGTGGTTTATCTCTAGGTGTCTACCACACCCCAACCAACATTGGCATGGCAAGCCACTGTATATTAACAGGGAGCAAACACTGGCATGATGATGTTACCTGGTTTGGGTGATTAAATGTCTGCAAGAAAACAGCCAAGTTCAGAGAGCACCAAGGACCCCACAGTCCTTTTCCTACTCCTACTCCTCCTGAGACCCTCCTCTCTTCTAGCACTGATGATGTTCCCTAGTTGGGTCATGAAACGTCTGCAAGAAAACCACCCAGCTCCAAGGACCCCACAGTTCAACCCTGAGCTGCAGAGATTCTCTTCTTTTGGTATCCGTCCCTCCATCCAATTGATAGACCGTCTATCTCATATAGCCAACTCTGTCTGCTTGCAATTAAAACAATTAAAAACAACCAAAGACACCAAAAATGACATTAAAAACAGCTGGGAAGACTCACAAATGATACACGCTCGCCCGTGCTATCAGGGCCTCAGGCCTGATGGCAAAACCAGGTGTTGAGTGACCTGTGAACAGGCAAGGTTGGTTGGGGCAAAGTCTAAACAAAGAAGAGGGGGTCAAATTATTCTCCAAAGCACCAGAGGGCAAGACAAGAAACAATGGTTGGAAACTGATCAAAGGGAGAAGCAACTTGGAATTAAGGAGAAAGTTCCTGACAGTGAGGACAATTAACCGGTGGAACAACTTGCCACCAGAAATCGTGGGCGCTCCATCACTGGAGATTTTTAAGAGACTAGACAGTCACTTGTTCTGAGATGATATAAGTTCTACTGCTTGAGCAGGGGGCTGGACTAGAAGACCTCCAAGGTCCCTTCCAGCTCTATTCTATTCTCCCTTGTGCTCTTGAGGGAGACACCACCAGGGAAGAGATGGGTCCCATCAAAGTTTTATTCTGCAAACTAACCCAGAAAATGGATTAATGCAGGAGCCAGGTGGAGCAACCTTGGCAACTTTTAAGACTGGTGTGGACTTCAAACTCCCATTGTCATGTTTTCTCATGCTGAAATTGCTCCGTTCCTTCCGTCCTCCTTTCCTCCCAGGGTTTTTCAGAGTTGATGACTTTTTAAGATACGGAGACGTTGACTCCCAGAATTCCCTGGCCAGCACTGAAGTCCTCATACCTTAAAACCGACTAGGGCAGGGGTAGGCAACCTTGGCTCTTTTATGACTCATGGACTTCAACTCCCAGAATTCCTGAGCCAGCATGAGGGATCTATGGCCCCTTCATGACTCGTGGACTTCAACTCCCAGAATTCCTGAGCCAGCGTGGGGGAACTATGGCCCCTTCATGACTGGTGGACTTCAACTCCCAGAATTCCTGAGCCAGCATGGCTCAGCTTGGAAACCTCTCCCTTTCCCCTCAGCATGGCTGGCTCAGGAATTCTGGGAGTTGAAGTCCATGAGTCATAAAAGAACCAAGGTTGCCTACCCCTGGACTAGGGGAATTCTGGGAGTTGAAGTCCGCACATCTTCCAAGTTGCCACGGTCAAGACACTCTGCCCCAGGGTATGAGACAAGCCCGGGTTTCGGAGGAGCAATAGCTCCAACAACCTGGTTTGACCCCAGCTTTCTTGTCTGTATCTCGTTTTTACTATTGTATAGGCAGTCCTCAACTTAACGACCGCAATGGAACTCAAAATTTCCCCAATGGTGTGAGCTTTGCCCCACTGGATGACAACTTTTCTCGCCACAGCTGTTAAGTGAATCGCTGCGGCTGTGTAGTCACACGCTTGTTAAGGGGATCCAGCTGGAGGCCACTTGGAGGTTTACCTGTGTCCTCAGGGTCACCTGAGTGGTGAAAATGAGTGTGAGGCCTTCTTGGGACTGCTGAAAGGACTGTGTTGTAGACTGGAGATAGATGGTGTCGTATCCCTCCCCCTCTGTTGAGAGAGGGCTGTTCAATTTTGACCTAGATGACCTCCAGATGGCCTCAATGACCCTCTAAAACAGTGTTTCTCAACCTTGACAAATTTAAGGCATGTGGACTTCAACTCCCAGAATTCCACAGCCAGCATTGCTGGCTGTGGAATTCTGGGAGTTGAAGTCCACATGCCTTAAAATTGTCAAGGTTGAGAAACACTGCTCTAAAAGAAGGCAAATGACCAGCTGTCTACAAGGAGTATAAATCCTCCCATTCCCCACCACCCAGTCAGAGCTGAAGAAGCTTCTGGGATGAGAAGCGAAACGTCTTCAAAGAAAAAACAAGAAAGTCCAGTTGCCTCCTGAAAAAGCGTCTTTGGGACCTGGATGGTTGAGACTCTCCATAGACACTGAGGGCTAGAAAGGCCTTTTTACCCTTGCTAGGTTGGCAGCAGTGAGCCAATGAGTCTCACTGAGGTAAACTTCCATCCTGGGCTCGGCCTTTTGCCAGATGGAAAAGTTGCCCACGCTCTAGAAATGCTTTGAAAGAATGTCTTCAAGAAAAGATTGGACAACCAATTGTCCGGGATGGTATAAGGCAGGGGTAGGCAACCTTGGCTCTTTTATGACTCGTGGACTTCAACTCCCAGAATTCCTGAGTCAGCCATGCTGAGGGGAAAGGGAGAGTTGAAATCCACGAGTCATGAGGGGGCCATAATTCCCCCATGCTGGCTCAGGAATTCTGGGAGTTGAAGTCCACGAGTCATGAGGGGGCCATAGTTCCCCCATGCTGGCTGAGGAATTCTGGGAGTTGAAGTCCACCAGTCATGAAAGAGCCAAAGTTGCCCACCCCTGGCTTAGGCCTGTATTTCTCAACCTTGGCCACTCGGATATGGGTGGACTTCAACTCCCAGAATTCCTGAGCCAGCCATGCTGAGGGGAAAGGGAGGTTTCCAAGTTGAGCCATGCTGGCTCAGGAATTCTGGGAGTTGAAGTCCACAAATCATAAAAGAGCCAAGGTTTCCTACCCCTGCTATAAGGACTCCTGTCTTGAGCAGCGGGGGTGGGTGGGGGTGGGTTGGTCTAAATGACTTCCAAGGTCCCTTCCCGCCCCGTGATTCTATGAGCTTCTCTGCTCTTCATTCAATAGCCGTCTCTTTCTCAGCTGGGGAAGGAAAGACGTTGCTTTGAAAGTTGCATTAACTTTCATGAGCCGGTTTATTAAAGCAGCCTCCTCCTCCTCCTTGGGAAGCCAAGACTCACAGCTTTAAAGAACCAGCAAAGCAATTTGTTTTTTTTCAAAGCGGCCACATCAAACGTGCTTGCACCGCTGCCGTGACGCCTTTCAGAATAGGAGCATGGTTCTTTCCTTTAAACAGGTCCACCTGTGGCTTTCGGGCCGAGTGCCAGAGAAGGATCTGGGCGACGCACATTTCAAGGAGTAGAACTACTGTCCCACCTGGGCCCTGGAAAAACTTCAACTCCCAGGATCCCTGCTTTTTTCTTTGCTTGCTAGGGATTCTGGGGCTCTCATATTTCTGGAAACCTCCTTTTAAAGGGAATTCAGCCGATCCTAACCGTGAGAGGCTCTTCTTCCCTTTTCACTGAAGTGCTCTAGCCCAAGGCTTTTCAACCAGTGGTACGGGCACCACCTGTGGTACATGGGCACCTGGCAGGTGGTACACGACCATCCTAGAAAAGTGGTAGCGGGGGAGGGGAATGAGCTGAACCGGTGGCAGCACCGCACAAGCCTGAGCGAGAGACGGCTGGAGCTGCAGGACTGTCCGGGCTCAGCGGAAGCGCCAGGATCCACGATAGGCTCCAGCTGGAGCTCGGCACTGATCCTGGCGCTTCCGCTGAGCCCAGAAGAAGCACCAATCAGCTGGAATGGTGCAGCATCTCCAGGGTCTTATGATTTACATTCAGATACTTGGCAACTGATTCATATTTATGACGGTCACAGTGTCCCAGGGTCATGTGAAGTGACCAAAACCTGCTGCAACCACCCAGCAGATGGGGGTGAATAAAAACCAAACACCCCCCACCCCACCCCCGCTGCCAATCCCCAACAGAAACGCTCACAACAATGAAAACCTCGGACAGGAAGAAGAGCGCGGCTGGGTGGGCAGGCAGGTGTCTTGCTCGGCTGTGGCTCGGGGGGCACTTTTTTCAGTGCCATTGTAACTTCAAACAGTCACTAAGTGAACTGTTGTCAAGGACAACAGTCAAGGACTACCTGTACTTCATCACTTTTTTTCCATCTTTTTTTTTTGATCATCAAGTTTTTGACACCTTGCTAGGCGACTGGTGGTCCTCGGATGTTGCCACATCCTAAAAGTGGTACAATGGGTGAAAAGGTTGAAAAGCCCTGCTCTAGTCCACCCCCCAAAAAAACACCTCAAAGTGTCATCTGGGACTGCCTACCAGGAAGCAGGAGGACCTGAAATAAGGACACTAACAGGAGTAAGTTAGTCCTCCACTTACGACCACAATTGAACCCATTTTTTGTGTGTGTGGCTAAAGCAAGGCAGCTTAAATGAGTTCTCGCCCCGTTTCACAACCGGCCTTGCCACTGTTGTTAAGTGAGCCACTGCCACTGTTAAGTTGGTAAGACGGCTGTTAAGTGAGTCAGCCTTCCCCATTGGCTTGGCGAAAGATGACAAAAGTGGAATCACATGACGCCAGGATGGTGCGACCCTCATGAATACGAGCCAGTCATGAATTTTGATCACGTGACCACGAGGATGCTGCAACGGTTGTTTTTCAGTGCCGTTGGAAACAGTCACTAAACGAACTGTTATAAGTTAAGGACTACCTGTGTGCCTTAAAAGACACTTTAAGCCAGAGGTCCCCAACCTTTTGGGCACCAGGGACCGGTTCCGTGGAGAGAGGTTTTTCCATGGACCAGAGGGTGTGTGGTTTTGTGTGCTGCCTGCATCCCACGGATGGGGCTTTGCTTGTTTGTGCGGACCAGTTGCTGGCATGCTGCGGTCCGGTGCCGGTCCACGGACTGGGGGTTGGGGACCCCTGATTTAAGCCATTCATGGGGTGGGGTGGGGGAGGACAGGACAAACCTCACAGGTTTGGCAATAAATACAATTTACACATGTATGGAGAGGGGGTACTTCTCCCCGGCACGCTATCCAACAGCACCCTTCCCCCCCCCGTTTTCTAAATGCAAGGCTCAAGAAATTGCATGTTTTCTCAGCATTTTTTGGGGTGGGAGGGAAATCCCCCTATACCAGAAGTCCTCAACTTATAACTATTCGTTTAGCGACTGTTCAAACTTGCAACAGCAGCGAAAATGACTTGCAATCGCATTTAAGACTGTTGCAGCACTGAGGCACTTGGCCACTGGTGTGTATGTGTGACAGTTGCGGTGCCTCAGGGTCATGTGATCGTCGTTTGCGACCTTCCCAAGCCAAGTTCCCACATGCCAACTTGATGGCAACCAGATACTCTGAACAGCCACAATGCAGGTAACAACTGCAACTATCACCTAACACAGGGGTAGGCCACCTGGGCTCTTTTATGACTCGTGGACTTCAACTCCCAGAACTCCTGAGCCAGCATGGCTCAGCTTGGAAACCTCTCCCTTTCCCCTCAGCATGGCTGGCTCAGGAATTCTGGGAGTTGAAGTCCACCAGTCATAAAGCGGCCTAGGCCTAGGGCAGGCAACCTTGGCTCTTTTATGACTGGTGGACTTCAACTCCCAGAATTCCTGAGCCGGCATGGGGGAACTATGGCCCCTTCATGACTTGTGGACTTCAGCTCCCAGAATTCCTGAGCCAGCATGGCTCAGCATGGAAACCTCTCCCTTTCCCCTCAGCATGGCTGGCTCAGGAATTCTGGGAGTCGAAGTCCACGAGTCATAAAAGAGCCCAGGTGGCCTACCCCTGCGCTAAGCGACCGGCCGTATGGTGAGGGCTACCTGTATCTGACAGGTGACCGGATTGGGGAAACCCTGGGCTTACAACGTGGGGACATTTCGGGCCGTCCGGCGAAGATCAGGAAGAAGAGAGATCCGCAACAGCTGGAGCCCCTTCGCTTCTGTACGCAGCGCCCACATCCAGATGTATTTCGCTGAAAAAAAACTGACCCACAAGCTCACCACGGGGTGACGTTTCAGGGGTGACTATCATTTTTTTTTTAATAGAAAACAATCCTTCAGATCAAGTCACCTTGCGTGAGTCTGTAACAGGTATCAAATTTTTTTTTTTAAAAAAAAAGCAAAAAAAAAAAAGCTGAAATGTCCAAACCGCCTTAAGAAATGTACAAAAGAAGGGGGGGGGGGTGTCAAAGACAACTAGAAAGGAATTCAAGTTCTCAACCTCCGTTGCCCAAATTAAGAGTTCTGGATCAGCAGAGGATGGCGGGGGGTGGGGGTGGAGGACCTCTTGGTTGGATCGCCCCGGCGCCGCACGCGCCACCTTCAAGGAGCTGCAGCAGGGAGCAAACCGGTAGCACAGAACACGAGATGGGGAGGGAGGGATAATGAGGGAGGAATGGGGCGCTATCCATTGGGCAGCCCTGCCTTTCGGTGGTCCAAGGTACAGAAGTGGGGCTGGAAAGGAGGTTGAAATAGCAGCTTTTGCGGCCCCCTCCCCCCCGTCAAGGAAGGGACCCGAGCTGTCATAGGGTAGGAGCGCCTGGGCTTCGGAGGAAAGCCTGACAGATGGAGAGTAAACATGCCCGGCGCCCGCCAGCGTGAGGTAGAGCAGGGGTCTCCAACCCCCGAGCCGTGGACTAGTTACCGGGCTGTGGCGCAACTCACAACCGGGCCACAAAAGGGACGGGCGAGCGCGCGAATGCAGCTCCATTTGTGTGCGAGAGGCGGGCGCTCGTACCTGTGGCTCGCGCAGGGCTCACGCTTGCCCACCGCTCGCCCAGAACCATCCCCTCTTCTCCCCTCCCCCCGGTTCCCGGAACGGTTGGGGACCACTGAGGTAGAGAGTTGACTTCGAAGATCAAGGCCAAAGAGACGAAGAACGAGCAGCGAAGGCAGGGATGTCACACGCCTTTGGCCGGAAAACCCAACCTCCCAACCCCGCCCCGCCCCACGGGGAAGTGTGCTGCTGCCAAGGAACACAACTCCTGGTGGGAGCGACCCCGAAGGGTGGCCACCTCCTCATTCAGCATCTGACCCTCCAAATACAGGGACCCCTCCCCCCAAAGTCCCAACGCAAAGCTCCGGGAGAGAACGTTGGCAGTGTCAACTGGCTCAGAAGCTGGTGGAAGGGGGTTGTGGGGAGGGGGGGAAGGGGAAGCAGGTAGACCAGGGAGGCCCGGACCCCTTTCCTCCAGAGTCACTCAGGGCCCCCAGCAGCAGCTCCCCCTCACCCCACCCCCCCCGGCAGCAGCTCCGGGCACTAGTGGCGACTGGAGACCAGCCCTTTGACCTTGGAGATCTTCTTGGTGGGTTGCCTCTGCTCTGGGTGAGGACACTCCCGCTCGGCCAGCTGCTGGTCCATCTCTTGAGCAGAGGAGGAGGAGGATGCGGTGGCCTTCAAGGTCTTCTTGATGTTCAGGACCTGGAAGGAAAGCAAAAGCGGGGAAGATGGGAGCAAGCCACGTTTCTCTGAAGGAGAAGCACCGCCAGGCCCCTCCATGGCTTGGACCCAAGGGACAGAGGGCAGAGAGACTTGGCCACTCAGGATGGGCCTCCTCGCTTTCCAACGGAGAAGGAGGAGGCAACAAACCTCGCCTGCCCAGCTCTCTGTCAGTAGTCCTCAACTTATGGCCAGCCCCCTTAGCGACTGTTCGAAGTTACAGGTAGTCCGCGACGTAAGACCACGACGGAGCCCGAAACGCCTCTTGCAAGTGTGAGACAGCTGTCAAGTGAGTTTTGCCCCATTTTACCACCTTTCTTGCCACCGTCGTTAAGTGAATCACTGCAGTTGTTAAGCGAGTAACCCGGTTCTTAAGTGCATCTGGCTTCCCCCGTGGATTTTGCTGGTCAAAAGGTCATAAAAGGGGATCGCGTGACACCCCCCCCGAGGACGCTGCGGCCATCGTAAATACGCGCCGGTTGCCAAGGCTCTGAATTCTGATTACGTGACCACAGGGATGCTGCAACGGTCATTAAGCGCGAAAAACGGTCAGAGGTCCCTGTTTCCACTACCGTTGTAACTTCGGTTGCTAAAGGAACGGCTGTAAGTCGAGAACTACCTTGCACCGAAGCCCAGCATGGAAGGAATGGAGCATAAACCTGCAAAAAGGAGAGAAGCAACCTGGAACTAAGGAGAAACTCCCTGACATTTAGAACAATTAACCAGTGGAACAACCTGCCACCAGAAGTTGTGGATGCTCCAATACTGGAGGTTTTTAAGAAGAGACTGGACAGCCATTTGTCCAAAATGGTATCGGTTTTCCTGCCTGAGCAGTGGGTTGGACTAGATCAGTGGTTCTTAACCTGGGCGGTACCGCCCCCCAGGGGGCGATTTCATTTTTCAGGGGGGCGATGGAACGAAAAGGGGCGGCGTGGGGGCGATGGAACGAAAAGGGGGCGATAGGGGGGCGATGGAGCGAGATGTTTTGGGGACACTTTTGAGCCTTCCCCTGCAGCTCCGAGCGTCCTCCGCCA